CGGCAGTCCCGGAGAAGGAAACCGGTCCTCTCTCTTGTCTTCCAGCGCCGGGGCCGTCGGAAGCCTTCACCCCTCCGTGTGCCCGGCAAGCACCTGTCCCGCCCAGGGCAGCTCCCGTAGACTGACCACCCCCTTGCGCCTCAAGTACATTTTGTGGACATAAACATTTTTTTCTAACTTTTTAAAGAACTTGTTTTTTTCCTTTTTTTTGTCTTTTTTTTTTCTTTTTTTTTTTTTCCTCGCTGGGGCTTTTACGAGCTTCCCGTTAGTTGATTTCCTGCTTCTCTCACCTCAGATAGCGCTGGCTCTGTCAGTATGGGGATCGAATCGAAGTTGGGGTTTTAAGAACTGCGAGAGCCCTCAAGCCCATCCACCTGCTCGGAGTGAGCAGTGCTGTTGCCGTCTTTCTTCTTTTCCCCCGCGTCGCCTGTTGGATGTGATGGAACTCATGTTTGCGGAGTGGGAGGACGGGGAGAGGTTTTCATTTGAAGACTCCGATCGCTTTGAAGAAGACTCTCTTTGTTCCTTTATCTCTGAGGCGGAAAGCCTTTGCCAGAACTGGAGAGGATGGAGGAAGCAATCGGCAGGACCCAATTCTCCCACTGTCAAAATGAAAGGTGAGGTCACCCGTTTTCGTTGGGATGCAATTTGGACTTGTGGAAGTTGTGGGGCAAAGGAGGGGGGGGTGGTGGTGGTAGGTGAAGAGATCTGCAGAAGAAGTGGCAAAGCCGCAAAGGGGAAGAAGTCACGGGTAGGATCACTGTCAGGATAATTTTCGACCATTTCCCACTGAAACTGAAAGTTTACTGGGGATCTTAGGACACAGCTGTCTCTTGGGTGAGGTTTCACCTGCATGCACTCTGTAGTATCGTAGTGCTGCAGTTCTGAGTAGATTCTGTGGGCTTGCTCTTGGAAACCTGAAAACAGTTCAATATAAACAAACTGCGGACTTGACTGGGAATAACTACATATAGGTTCCCACTGGCTTTGATGGAAATACAGTAAGGTTTCACAGGGATTTTTGGAACTGCTATGAAACGACTCGTGTAGAGGCATGTAAGCCATCATTGTATAGAGCAGTCTGATTTCCTCACCAGTTTCTGTACATTTCTTTCTAGTAAATAAACAAACTTCGTTTTTTCAGTGGTAGACAAGGGAGCCTTAAGACTGTCACAAAGTCAGCAAACTACAGTCAGCTTCAAGAGTTGTTGTATTTCCATTTTTTTTGGAGAGTAATTTGATAGCAGACAGGAAAATAGATAACAAGCAATTAGAACTATTTATAATTATCATATAGCTACTAACTCTTTGCTTGATTTGGTTTGGTTTTTTTTTTTGTTTTGTTTTTTCTTTTAATGAAACAAAATTTTTCTCTTATCCTGATGCATCTTGACCCTAGAATTCAAGTGGTGTTTATAACAAGCAGAGCCCAGACATACAGTTAAGAGAAATTACACAAGCCCTTTCCTATTCTTCCTTCTGTCTCCTTTCTTTTCTTTCAACCCAGTGTCAGTGCTTTTCATGTTATTGCTGGCCTTTGTGACCGTCACCTGCCTCATTAATATCTCCCCATCTGGAGCTGCAAAACTTCATTTTCTTCTGAATGATCTCTAAATGAACAGAGAATGCAATTTATATTGAATGGTGCTGAAATCTAGCCATGTTATGCTACGGACAAATGTTCACTTGTCACTGGATTAGGACCAGAAAGTACACTTTGCGTTAACCATAGGCTTTCCAGAGCAGCTTAAGTTCTAGATCTGTAATACATTTGAAACTGTCCCTAGTCCAAGGTATGTAAGCACCTGTCTCTTGACTAGTCAGGATTAGAGTTGAGAGTAGGATGGAAGCTTCAAAAAAGAAAAAAAACCCAACCCAAAACAAGGGAGAGCGAGAGAAGTGTCCAAGTTGGATAGCTCTCTTGGATCCTGCTGCTGGGACACATTGGGTTTTAGTATGGAACACACTATTGGTGTAAGGAAAGGGAACACTGTTGGCATTGTGCTTTCTAAAGCGATGAATCCTGAGATGTAGAGATATGCGTTGGACACAAGGGAAAGCATATAAACTCCATGTTTTGCTTTAAATCTTGTTGTGTGTTAACTTGCTGGAAAGGAGCCGAAGTTTTGAAAACATACTGCTGCAAATATAAAGACATCTCTAGTTTGGCAGACGTGTATGAAAGTGGTTTGTACGGATGTACACGTCCGTAGCCTACATATGACTGATGTTTGAAAAGGTGTTCGGTTTTGTTCAACTTTGTGATGATTTTAGCCAACTGTTCTTTGCTGGTTCAGTATATGATTGTGTGTTTTTCTGGGCCTTGGCCTAGTTCCTTTAGCTCTCTTGACCAAATTAAAAGCAGGCCGCAATTTGTGTCTCTGCTGTCATCTACTTGTTGCATTAAAATGAAAAAACACTTCAGCAGATCATGTGTATTTGTAATCCTCAGTCTCTTTCCTGACATGAGAAACATAATAGCTAACATTATTGTTGTGATAATTGTTATTATTTACACCACATAGAGCTGTTGCTGTTCCAGGTTCTGCAAACACACATAGGCAAGTGTGCTTGTACTTGGTTCATATTTCTTAGGCTTTTTCTATAGAGAGACTTCATTCCTTTGCATGAAAGTTTTATTTTAACAAGGGAGGCATTCTGAAAGGATACTGTTGCCTGCTTTAAGGCCTTTGCTGGCATTCCCAGGCTGTGCTCAGGCTTATTTGGAGAAGTATGTGGACATGGATTTGCTGCCTAAATAATTATTTATCCACTCTAAGAAGTCACATACAGTGTTACCAACATGGAGCGCTTCCAGGGACTTTACTGTATGCAGTGCATTTGTGGCCAGCAAGTCTCGTCTGATGAAGGATCTGTCATCATCTGGAATGTCCTTGGATTTCAGAACTCTTGAACCAATTTAATTATTTTTAACACCTCTTTTTGACAATGTTTTTGTAATAAGAAGAACAGCTTGTATTGAGAACTTGCTGGCTCCTGAGGTTGTCAGTTGTAGTGAGTCTTTCAAAATGTGATCATTCTGAATTGAGCTGTGTGTTTTTATTTCCAGTTTACCAGTTTGTGGTGGCCTGTGATGTAGTTGCCTATGCAAACAAAAAAGGAGGTTAGACGCTGTGTTTTTTGGTGTTAAATGGTAAGGGAAAACAAGAGGAACTATATTCTGTTAGCCTTTTCCTCCAGTTTGGAGCTCAGCCTGTGTTTTCATTTGGAATCAGCCAGATGAGTTATGTAATAGAAAGGATTTCTAGCTTCTTCAATTGTTTTCAGTTTGTTCTTCTGAACGTCCAATTTTCTGTTAATTAGTTCCAAGGAAATCCCCCTGAGACTGATGGAAGTGCTGCTGGCTATCTTAAACTAACAAACTACCCTCTCCTGCCTTCCCAGTTACGGCTTTCTTACTTTTTGCAACTTTTTATCTTAGTTATTTCTGATATTATGATTATGCTTACTATAAATTTAACAATAAGGCTTGGGGTAGCTTGTTGCAAATATGCGGAGTATTCACTGCAGAGGGTCAGCAAAAAGTTGAGTTATTCACTTGTTTGTTGGTCACCCTGTCAACTTGCTAGGGAAATTATCAAAGGTGAAGAAAAATGTCTGAGTTTCTCCAATATCATAATTGGAATATAATTCTTTATAAAACTATGTATCTTGAGTTATTACGTAAGAAAAAGGAATGTAAGTGGTTGATTTTCCCCTTGTTTAATTTCACTATGCTAAAGTCCTCTTATATTGCTTTCTAAAAAGGAGTTTTCTCTTTGAATGTTGAATTGCTAATGTGAAGGAGGAAGGCACTGTGTCCACTGTACGGAAGCCCTTAGATTTTTGAAACTGCTCCCATCTCCACTGATTCACCTATACTGACATCCCAGAGGAAACTTAAACAAAGCATGTCAATTTTGGGAATACCAAGAGTCCTGTCATAATTTTGAATGTTTATTTTCTGAATGACTTGTTCTCTAATTAGACTGCCATGTTTGCTTGCTTTTACCCCTTGTGTGTTTTTTCATTTTGAATGAGATATTGCTTGTAACTGAAGTTTGGCCATCGCCTGTACACACTATTGATTAGAAGCTTTCAGCTGGGCAGCCAGGGGATTCAGCTTTGACGTTAAGGTGAATGGATGTTTTGAAGAACTGTATCTTTGCAGTGTATTCAGAACTGTCTGGTTCCCTGAGTTGGTTTGTGACTCCAGCAAACTTTCTTCCATATCAAACTACATTCCACCAATTTGCTACCTTTCTACCAACAAATACACTCACTTGCCTTTTCTTTGCTTTTCTGGACAGTCTTTGTGCTCCCAGAAACCGTTCTGAGCGCCATTATGGTCCTCTCATTTCCCTTCTCACTTTTTAAAACAGTTGTATTTTTCATTGGCAATTGAAGTAAGTCTAATGTTTTTGTTACCAATTATCTTCACATAAAGATTTTTGTAACAGAAGTCTTAATGAGTGTACTTGAACATTTACTCTTACCTCACTAAACCCATTGTGGCTTTGTTACTTCTTGAAAGCTTCTAAGCTCTTTCTCACCCTTAGTCCTTTCTATTTCACAGTTTCTGAAGCACAAATGTTTACCAAACACTTCAGAAGTTGCCATAAATACTGTAGGATTGCTAAATACTATGATCACAATATTTTTGCTCAGTTTGTATTTGTTCATTCACACCAGCTTCTGCTGGAAGTATGCTGATGAGTGGTGTTGGAGCTGGTTTCAATAGGCAGCTAGTGAAAAGGCTTAATTTTTCTCCTCTACTGTAAGCTTGAGCCATTGTGTACTGTATTGCAAAATCCCCTCTAACTTAACTAAGAACTAAAGCAGGCAGTGATCTCCTAGAAAAGATTCCCATTATCCAGCCCCAGACAGCTTATGTTCTTCCAAACTGTTAGGAGTGCCCATAATGTTAAGTTCTGGGCACAGTGCCTCAAAAGTAGAAGCTGTAGAGAGGGAGTCATTGGCAGAGAATACACAGAGCCTGAGGTGAGGATATGATCAGTTTAGAGAGACAACCCGATCAAAGTCTGAGCAGTGTCTACACTGGTAAAATGACAGTGACTGGTTTTCATTAATTTATACAGACAAAGAGTAAGTGGCTTAGAGAGCAACATGTCTTTCTTCCTCAGGATTGCCGGTAACTCTTGCTCAAGAGCACAGCAGGAGAAACATGTAGTCTCTTTTGAAGTCACACTGTGCTCTTCAGACTCTTGCTTTTTTCAGAGAAGAAAGTTGTTGCCATCCAAAGCGTGCCCACTCCTCGAGTGGAGAACTTCGAAATGAACACTCTGTAGTTCGCCGCTGTTTAGTTACCATTACGGTGTATTATAATGTTACAACTGGTTGTTGGTTTTTTTCCTACTTTATTTCTGCCTCTGGTATCAAGAGGGAGATTATGCTTCTATGTTGTTTGTTACGATTCTTTTTAATTTAGTGCAATACATGAAAAATATGGTTTAGCTCAAATATATCTGTTATATCCAAGTTCACTAATAACATTAAAACCCCAAACCAGTAACTGTTGAGCAAAAGTATAGCTCCCTAATGAGTTTCTTTATAGAAGTGACAGAATGTTAAAAATACAAATGTTGGTGGGAAGATATCGCAAATGCTTATGAAATAAGCAGAGATCAGGTGTCCAAAGAGTAAAGGTAATGTGAAAATGAAGGCTTAGCTGCTAGAA